GAGTTTTCTGACATCCATCTCAATGCTTCATCATCTGGGAAATGCTCAACAAAGGTAATTCTGGACCGAATATCTTACTGCATCTGGATTATGTCTTTTTTGGCTATTCCAACTTTTCAACATGACTATTTTCACTCGTCTCACATCGATGAATTTTAGTAGTGGATATTCGGGGCTTTTTTTGAATAAAACAATTTTTGGAGAAAGAGGGGTAAACCGAAAAGACGACGAGAAACAAAAACAAAAAAAATTTGAGAGCAATTACCCGTTATATGAAAATCAAGTTATTGGAATTCTTGTGCAAAATTTGAGCATAGGAGGAGGAGAAGGCATAGGAGGAAAAAGGGGAACATTTATGAAAGTTTCGAGTACATTCTCTCGAGCTCTTTCGCGTAGTGAGCCTTCAGCTTCGGGCGTTTGCTCTTCAGTGTTGGCGTCAACAAGTCGTTCTCCACACTGAATTGCTCAGCCGATAGGTAGATGTCACGGACTTGTTCGAACGAGAAGAGTCCCGCCTTTTTGCCGACGGCCACCATGTCGTCGAGCACCGCCTTTTTGACCGTCTCATTCTTGCACAACTCCTCGAGACTTCCCTTGATTCCTTGGTCGGCCATCGCTGGAACGAGAACCTGGAAAATAGTAAAATTAGGTTGAAATCCTATTTTTTTGAAAATCGTCCGATTCGGATAAAAATCGATATGACGGCCTAAAATGGGTCAAAAATCGGATTTTCCAATTTTCGACTTTTCTGGAATTTTCTTTCAGAACATTGCTTTTCGATCCGGGTGTCGTTCTATTAGAGGTTTTACGGTAAGCGAGATATGGTTATTTTAAAATTTGGATCTAGTTCGAACGTGTATAGAGTCAAAATCGCCGCTTAGTTTGTGATGTTGTTTTTAAACTATGTCATGTTTATATTGATTTGAAAGCTCAGACAACGCTAAATTCAAAAAATAGATTTTCATAAAGTTTGGTCCAAAAATAATAGAGATATTGCTATTTGAAAAACGCACTTAGTTTAAAGGTGTATATAGTCAAAATCGCCGCTTAGCTTGTGATGTTGTTTTCAAACAGTGGTATGTTAGTACTCATTTGAAAGCTCAAAAATTGCTTAATTAAAAATTTCAATTTCGTAAAATGCGGTCAAGAATTAATTGAGATATGGCAATTTCAAATTGGCGCTATAGCTTGTTCTGGCCGTTTGAGAACGCATAGCTTAATTAAAAGCTTTTGAACCTAGAATAACAACTCGTAATTTTTAAGACAAAAATTTGTTCAAAATCCAAAAGATGGATTCTATAAATATGTCTCTCTATCGTGACCTCCCTATTGAATAGCCCCATCGAATGGGTTTCAACCTACTTGTCCTCCTCCAATCCTCTCTTCCCGTCGAAAATTCATTCAATTCAACACAGAACACACATACAACGATCCACCTCTTCTTTTGCCTACTTATTCACATGTTCTTTCCTGTATTATACACCTTCTCTGCTTCTCTCTCTCTCTCTCTCTCTCTCTCTCTCTCTCTCTCTCCCTCTCTCTCTCTCTCCCTCTCTCTCTCTCTCCCTCTCTCTCAGTATGACTATTCACGTTTTCTTCACACATCTCTCCAATTTTCCTCGATTTTTTTGCGGAGATGCTGATTCTAAGAAATCGAAAGCTGGTCCGTGAGGCAAACTACGAATTGCGCCATTTTTCTGGTTTTGCCATCTATGCCATGTGTGGCTTTTTTCGGCGGCAAACATTATTTTGTTTTTCCTATTATTGTGTCTTTATGTTTTTATTTAGTTCTTGTTACATAGCTACTTATCCATTTTATCTGAAAATTTCATGCAAATCTTTAGTTTGTTTGTTTGGAAGACAGATTCTTGGAAATCCTGAATCGTGAATATCAAGTGCCTGAAAACCCATTTCAGACATTTCCGGTTTGTCTGAAATTTTCAGAGTATACTAAACAAAAATAGAACTTCATTTTCGTATTTAACAACTTTTTTGCAAAATCAGCCCCTGAGAAGATATGCCACGTGGAAGACGCAAGGCGGCAACGAGTTAGGTGGCTAGACAGCGACTAGGGGATGCTACGTAGCATATCTCTCTAGGGCTGAATTTTGCAAAAAAGTTGTCAACTACAAAAATGAAGCTCTATGTTTGTTTATTATTCTCTGAAATTTTCAACAAGAGTGGACAAATGCTAAGTACCTTTATAGCCCGTCAAAGTTGATCACTTTTTGGCGCCAGAACTTTTAATCTACACCTCTCGGTCTACGGCAAGAATTGTTTGTGTCATTATCTCCTCATTGAAATCTGAAGACGAAAACACATTTTGTTAGCTTTGAAATAGCCAAATCGCAAAAATTAGTAAATCCCTAAAATTTTGAATTTGAGAAATTTGAGTTTTTAGTTTCGCGCTCAATCTATCGGCCCCGATTTCTTACCAAGCGCATAACTCTGCCCAAACTCGAAACTTTTGTTTGAAATTTTCAGATCATACGAAACAAAAGTAGAGCTTCATTTTTATAGTTGATAACTTTTTTGTGAAACTTGAGCCCGAAGAAATATGCCACGTGGCAGCGCACAGCACTCTGCGACATGCCGGTGGAGCCATGGGTGACTACCGCCCCGAAGTATATCTCGGCCCAAAATTTGAATTTTCGTTTGATCTAAAAAGGAAACTGTAGAACTTAACAAGATCTACAAAGTGATACTTAATTCAACTATATTGGACGGTTCAGTATAGGGCCAGGGGCTGTATAGCTAGTTAGGAACCAATTTCGCTGACTTACCTGTTACACGGCTTTTGATCTAAAACCTCACATTCAAATCTAGTCAAATTTACTATAATTTTGTAGATCTTTTTAAATTCTACATTTTACTTTTTGATTTGCCAAGAAATTCCAGATTTGAATTGAGTTATAGACGTTCTAGAAAACTAGGAACAATTTTCCAATCATAAATTGTTCGTTTTTTCGTCTATCTCTTCCTCATTCCAAATTTCCAGTTTGTTCCTTTTTCCTTTCTGAGGATTCTGTTTACCGTTTTGCATTTCTAATTTTCCTCCTTTTTTCCCTTTTTTTCTTAATGTTTCACTGAACATTGGTCATCCTTTTCTTCCTCCCATTCATCCAATTTTTTCCCTGAAAAATCTTGTGATTTCGGTTTGAACAAGAAAACGTAGTCTACAAACTTTCTTGCCGTTTAGAATGACGTTTGTGATTTGTCTAGGTCCGAATTTTTCAAAGTCGCAGATGGATAAATATCTATATTTTGATTACTTTTCGGACCGAATTTTATGAAATTTATTTTTTTTGATTTCAGAATTTTTAAAGCTTTAGAATGAGTGTAAACCTGACATAGTTTGAAAAAAAAACATCGCAATTTACGCGGTGATTTTGACCCCTATGCGCTTTCAATCTAGGATAGTTTTTCAAAAAACCATATCTCAATTATTTTTCCACCGAATTTTATGAAAATTATATTTTTAAATTCAGCGTATTTCGAGCTTTCGAATGATAATAAACATAAAAATTTCGAAATAATTTCTTTCGCAGTTTCTTGCACTTTTTTATCCGATCCTTTTGTTCGATTTCTTCATATCTTAACAGATTTTTCTCGGTTTTGCAACGGGTTATAAGAACACAACAACCCAAATAAATGTTTTTCTGATGCAAAAATCATAATACCTCCCATCGGAAAAGTTCAACCATAGTTCAGATGGTCAGAGAGAACTAGAATGCGTTGTGGTTTAGGTCAATGTCCTATTTAGGCTCCGTCCATTGTAACACTTTTAGTTTATATATATATATATTTTTTTTTGAATGTTCTGAAATTTTCCAAACGGTTACTGCTACTTTTTAAATGTTATTCAATGTTGAGACTTATCTAAAATTTCCGGGATTTTCAACATGAATCAGCGAAAAACTGTGAATTTCAAGTGGCTAAAAATGTAACTTAAATTTGTTTGATTTGTCTGAAAATTTCAGAGGATACTAAACAAGAATAGATCTTTAATTTTGTAGTTGACAACTTTTTTGTAAAATTTGAGCCTAAAGAGATATGCCATCAAGTGCCACCTAGACACCTAGCTAGCCACCGCCTAGCGTCTTCCACGTGGCATATCTCCTTCCACGTGGCATACCAGCGTCCACGTGGCATACCAGCGCGTTTGCATGAAAAAGTTGTCAACTACAAAAATCAAGCTTTAGTCTTGTTTCGTATGCTCAGGAATTTCAAGGACCAATTGGCAATGTTTGGGGTAGTTTTTAAGAGCTTGAAATTAAAAAAGTTTCATTGAAAACCGCAAAATGCCGGCTGAGCTGCTTGGCTAAATAAATTGAGCTATGCATGTCAAAGGGCCAATTTTTTGCTGCTTCAAATCCTTTTTGTGATTTTGAAACTTCCAGTTTTTTCTCTCCTTCTTCTTCACCAACAAAAAATCAATAATCCCACCTGTTCCTCTTTTTTCCTCCACATCTGCTTATACATCCATTTTGCCATAAAAATACCAGTCAGCTTTCCCTGTCAAATCTGCCGGCAAAAAAAACGAACACCTGTCGTCATACTAGCCACTACTAATACTACTGTTGCCGCCATATATGACTTTTCTCTTCGTCTCTCCATTCCTCACACTCTCTCGTCGCGTATGACTCAAATCCGCGCGAAACCTGTTGGAAACCGAATGGTCAAAAATTTTTTTCTTTTGGGTTTTCGATATTTTTCAAATAGAGCGAGTTTGCCACCTTGGTTTCGTGAATTGTGCCACTAGTGAATGAATAGAAGCGCGCTCCACTGGACTAGGCGTTTGGCGGGAATTCAAAATTTTACCTTCGACTAAAGCAAATTCCTGTTTTCACCCACTTCAATCCTATTACCAATCACTCTTAAAATAACAAAAACAATATTTTCTTTGTTCTCCAAACTTCCCAAAAAAATTCCTCCCTTTTTTTTCAATTTTCACTTTGTTCTTCAAAATGGTCACCTTACAGCCGACCGCTCGAATGGGCTGGGATACGATCAGTGCCGTTGTGGCACGTATTCTGGCTGCCTATCCGGTTTATTCGATACTTTGTGAGTTTTTTTTCGGATTTTCTGAAATTTTGACTCCTCGACTCCCTCCCCCAAAAGCAAACCGAAAAGCGCGTGATAGACTACCACAACTGGTGCAAGAGTGCCCGTTGCACATGCAGACTAGTGGTCTACGCACGCGTTTTGGAAAACACCCTTGTTGGATCGACTCCCCGCTGGAGCCAAAACTTTTTTTCGTTTCAGTAAGCATCCTATCAATACTTGCGTTGAGTGCAGGGCTTGTAAATATTCGTTTGGAACCTGATATCCGAAAATCCTTCTCTCCAGAGGACTCCGATGCCGGATAGTGAGTTGGACTTTGAACATCCGGAGACAAACTTATTTATTTCAGCGAAACCAGAGTTTGGTTGGAGTATTACGGGCTGAAAATCTATCCGGAACGAGCATTTTGCATTTTCACAGCGAAATCAGAAAATGGAAGTATTCTGCAAGAGGAGGCATTGAGAGATGTAGGTTTTATTGTTGAGAATGTTTCATTAGAGTGCATTTGCAGATCTACACTGTGGATAATCGTTTAGTGCAAGCGGTTGGGTTGAGAGATGGCGATGGTCGAAGGAATTGTGATCCACTTTGTGACCTAAATAGCCCGTTTCATTTATTGGCGGTAAGTACAGTAATCTTTTGAAAGTTCATTTGAAAGCTCAAAACAAGCTAAATTCAAAAATTCAAATTTCATGAAATTTGGTCAACGGATAATCGAGATATGAGCATTTTAAAAATGATTCTAGCTTAAAGGCGCATAGGGTTCAGTCAGAAACACCACAATTTCCGATTTTTCAGAACCAAACTCGCAAAAACAACGGAACGACTGCAGTTTTCACCTATCCGGACATGCCGTATAGTGGATTGGACATATTTTTAGGCCTTCATTTCAGTAATGTGGATTTTAGTGAGTTTTTCAGATTGAAATTTTTAAAGTTCATTTACTTAATCTTCATTGAAATTTGCTTAATTTGATGTTTTCAATTTCTGTGAATTCAAAATTTTCGATTTTCAGAACCACCAACACATCGAATCAGTTCCCGATCTCTCGTCCTTTGGTACTTTTCCAGATCCGATACACCAGAAGGGAAGTTGGCGTTTAAGGTGGGTGATTTAGACCTGAAAAGTGTCATATTTATACTTATTTGAATGCTCAAAAGCAGCCAAATTCAGAAATTTAAATTTTAAAAAATTCGGTTGGAAAATAACCAAGATATGGCTATTTCAAAAATGGATACAGTTTAAAAAAGTATAGTCGTCAAAATTGCCGCGCTAGCTTTTGATGTTGTATGTAAACTGTGACATATTTATACTCATTTGACAGCTTAGAAACAGCCAAGTTCAAAAATTTAGGTTTTTTTTTTTAATTTGAACAAAAAGTAAGCGAGATATAGCTGTTTTAAAACTTGGATCTAGTTTTAAAAAGTATAGTCGTCAAAATCGCCGCGTAGCTTGCGATGTTGTTTTTAAACTATGTCATATTTCTACTCATTTAAAAGCTGAAAAGCAGCTTGAATCAAAATAATTACTTGGCAAATAATTCGGAGGGTACAAAAATTTTGGGGTCATTGGGGTACAAAGCAATTTAGGGGTACAAAATCCTCAATTCGGGGGTACAAAATACCTGAAAAAAGGCTTAGTTTGTACCCCCGAATTGTGGATTTTGTACCTCTAAATCAGTTGTACCCTCTTGTACCCCCGAATTATTGTACCCTCCGAATTATTTGCCTAATTACTTTCTAGAAATTTGGTTAAAAACCAATCTAGATATGATCACTTGAAATTTTGCTCTAGTTTAAAGGAGCCTATGTTAATAACCACAAATCCATATTTTCCAGGACGCGATTGACGAGCTCTTCGACCTGTCCAAAAACTCATCATCATTTGAGAACGTCGAATTCACAATCTTCAGTGATCAAGTCGCGAATCGAGAGATGATTCGAGGAGCCATCGAAGCCACGACTCTCATGACAATTGGTTTCTTCCTACTTCTCACTCAAGTCATCATCGTTATCAAAAGATTATCATCTATCAAAATGACCGCCTATCTTGTTGCCACCTCGCTGCTCACCCCAATGGCGGCTACGATTGCGTCGTTTGGAGTGATTTGCTGGATGGGATTCCCGTCGTTTTCCATCCAATGTGTCACACCTTTCTTGGTGTTGGGAATTGGTGTCGATGACGCTTTTATCTTGTTGCATCGGTGGAAACATCATATTGCCATTAGTGATACGTAAGTTTTTTTTTTGCGGCGAGCTACGCGGGAGCTCCATCGCGGGATCTTGCTTCCTGTATAATATTTCAAAAAGAGGTCAACTGACAACCTGTATATCATTATTTGATAAACATTTTATCAGTTTTCAATTCTTTGATATCTCTCACAGGAAATGAGATGATTGAGCTCAAAAAACAGTTACCGTACACACTCTAGTAGAATTCAAACCGTCAAATACAAGCCCATGAATCTCAATTTCTGTATGAGATACCGAAAAGTGGTCAACTGATAAACTGTTTATGATAATATCAAAAATATTTTATCAGTTTAACTCATTTTGGTATCTATCACGAGAATTGAGATAATTGAGCTCAACTGCTTGTGAGAAAAAACTCAATTCAATTTATAGTTTAACTTTGAGCCTGTATATCTCATTTCCTGTGAGAGATATCAAAAAGTGGTCAACTAATAAAATGTTTATCATAATTTGGCAAGCATTTTACCAGCTGGCAACTTTTTGATATCTTTCACAGAAACTAAGATAAACTGGCATAAAGTTAGAGGGGTTCTTTTAGAGTGTATGGCAAATAGGGCAAACTTTCATGACTACCATACCTATTTCTTATATCTCAAATTTCAATTATTTTTCATTCCAGCCCTCGCCGTCTGGAACAAGTCATCGTCGATGTTGGACCTTCCATCACAATCACATCCTTGACCAACATCATTGCATTTGGAATCGGATTCTTCACACCAACACCCCAAGTGAGCTTTCTCCCTCTTCGGTGGGCCATGCTCAGATCTTCCATGTTTTCCAGATGTCTCTGTTCTGCCTGACCGCTTCATTGGCCCTTCTCCTCGACTACATCTTCACCTACACCATCTTAGCGCCAATCGTTTTTCTCTGCAACGATCCCACCTACCAATCGGTTCCCAAAGACGAAACCATCTCAAAAGCGGACACATGGCTTGCAAAGTATTCGAGATTTGTGTGCTCTTTGAGAGGACGGATTGTGTGCATTTTTGTGCTTATTGGGATGTATGGATTGACAACATATGGAGTTATGACTATGAGAACAACGTTCGAGCCCGCTAAAGCTTTCCCGTCGAATTCGAAATTGGTGGATTCGTTGTCGAATATTAAGTGAGTTTGAGGCAACTTTTTCAAAGGACCGTATCGCGATTATGTGTTAACCAAATTTTATGAAACTCAAATTTTTCAATTTCACTGCTTTTGAGCTTTAAACTGAGTATAAACATGACATAGTTCGTACACAATACTGATTTTGGCGTGCTGCAAACTACGCAGTCACAGACTGCGCCTGTTACCCCTAACTTTCAACTTTGAGCCATTTTATCTCGGTTCCTGTGAAAGGTATCAAAAAGTAATCAACTAATAAAATATTTCTGATTTTATAATACACATTTTATCAGTTAACCACTTTTTGATATTTCTCACAGGGACCGAGAAAAATTAGATTAAAGTAGAACTATTTTCAGGCCCGTCTTCAACCGATATTTCCCAATCACAGTCATTGTTAACAACCCACCAAACATTTCCAATGAAATCGAATACGATAGTTTCCACAATATGATGAATCGTCTGGAGAATGTTCCTGGCATCCGTGGCGACAATCGAAGTTTGATTTTCCTTCCACAATACGAAGCCTACGATAAGCTTGCGAACTCCTTCTCGATTCTTCTGGGAGACAAGTACCGCCCGTCTTATGATAGTCTGCCAAATTGGATGGATGCGATTGGAAATCCGCCGCTCGTTAAGTATCATTTGGATGAGAAGAATAAGTAAGTGATGTGTCGATTTCAGATATAGTACTTCAAAAATTTCGTTTTAGAATAGGAAAATCTCAAGTTAGGGCGTCAAAAAGAATAGTTAGAACTTGTCAAATCAGTCTGAAATTTTCAGTGTGGGTCAAACAAAACTAGAGCTTCAATTTTGTAATTGACAACTTTTTCGTGCAAACGCGCTCTACGGAGATATGCCTGTTTTTCCAAGTCCTCCTCCTTTCTGCCGTGAAAGCGCCTCTCCGCGCGCGCCAACTTTAAAGACGCATATCTCAAAAACTAAGAATACTATCAAAAAGTTGCTGACAACAAAAACATAGTTCCCAATATTTTACATATTCTTGTAGTTTACTACTTTTTTGTAGCTTTTTTAGTTTTTGTGCGCCTTTAAAGTTGGCGCTTGGAGAGGCTGAGAAAGGACATACTTGATATCTACACATGGCATATCTCATTAGAGCGCACTTGTACAAAAAAGTTGTCAACTACAAAAAGGAAGCTCTTGTCCTGTTTGACCTACGAAAAAGTGCTGCAAACTCGCTCTAATGCGAAATTACAACAAATTTCTGTTCCAGAACCGTCGTCACCTCATTCCGTTTAACCCTTCTCGGCAAGGGAATGTCCGAGTGGGCGGAGCGAGCAAGAGCCATGCAACACATCCGAACTGTGCTCCGCGAGGAGCAACAATTCAACGCGACACTTTTCGATTGTGATTCGGCGATTCTGAGCATCATTCTGACAGTGGGAACCGATTTGATTGGCTCGATTGCGGTTACTGTAGTTTGTATGGCAATTGTGTGTTTTGTGTTCATCGCGAATTTCAATGCTGTGGCTGTGATAACCTCCATTATTGCCAGTATTTGTTATGGTGAGTTTTTTTCTCGTTATAGGGCCTAGTCATCTAGAAAGATGACTCTCGATTCTAAAATTCGATGCATAACAAACTCTGAAGGTTAGCGCTGGCTCTGAAAATCATAGAGAGACAACAAACTAATCAAAAATCAAAGTTTATTGAACATGATCTAACAACTCCAATAATAGTATCTGATTCTACCATTGGGAAGCTTTGACGTCGGCTCTTCAGAAGAGGTCCTCGGAGGCAGATGGGTCCATGGAGAGTCCAATCCAGGCGACAGCCGAATATGCGAGAGTGGAGGCGACCAGGATGACGGCGTAGATGGCGTTCATAGTATTGGGAGGATCGGAGTTGTGATCTTGGAGCTCACTAGGGAACCTTCCAGCTTTTATAGATTTTTGTTTGTCAAAATTTTTATTGATTAGATCTTGCCACGTATTAGGTCAAATTCTATCAATCAAAACTGATGACAAATGAAAATCTATAAAAGCTGGAAGGTTCCCTAGTGAACTCCAAGATCACAACTCCGATCCTCCCAATACTATGAACGCCATCTACGCCGTCATCCTGGTCGCCTCCACTGTCGCATATTCGGCTGTCGCCTGGATTGGACTCTCCATGGACCCAACTGCCACCGAGGACCTCTTCTGAACACTTGGCCGGCTCAAGGAAAAAATCACTCTCCATCTGAACCCAACGATTATAGTATAGAACTGTCTGCCATTAAAAAAGTTGTGTTTTGAAATTCTTGAATTTGGAAATTTTGATTTCTGCCGTATAAAATGGGTGTATCCAATCAATTTGATGACCTCGTTTAGACCAACTCTGACTTATTGCTACCTCTATAGCTTATGGCTAGGCTTTATAGCTAGGTAAATTCTATTACGATGGAAGAAAAAACATATTACTCTCGTCCGAAATCAATGCACGTTGCGGCCGAAAATTTACTCAAAATCGCAGAAGAAAAAAAAGGAGAGGTCCTCGGAGGCAGTCATTTTTGATTGATAGGATCTGACCTGATACGTGGCAAGATTTTATCAATTAAAAGTGATGACAAATGGAATCCTATTTAAGCTGAAGTGAAGGGGTTTATTCTAACAGTGTTTACAGTAAACCGAAAAAAACCATTTGCGAAATTTTAATAGTTTAAAGTTCTGTGAGCTTTTGAATCTATCTTGTGAATGAAAAAAAAAGTAAAATTCAAGCATCTCAAAACACAACTTTATTCATGGCAGACAGTTCTATACTATATTTGAAAGGTTTCGATGGAAAGTGATTTTTTCCTTGGGTCGGCCAAGTCTTCAGAAGAGGTCCTCGGAGGCAGTTGGGTCCATGGAGAGTCCAATCCAGGCGACAGCCGAATATGCGAGAGTGGAGGCGACCAGGATGGCAGTGTAGATTGCG